AGTAGTGCTGCTTGATGTTTGAAATAAAAGTGGACTGATGCTACTTGAAATGTAATGTAAGCCTGGATATGGGACCATATTGTTATATATTTCATTAATGTCCACATTCATGCTTCCAGGAAACCGTGAACCACTGCAACATGACCACAATCATATTAATCATAATGATACAGCAATTTTTATACTTCATTTCTTAACCAGGCACAAGCTAACTCTCACGGTGTAATAAAAATGAAATGATAAAAATGCACCCAAAACAAACCTCAAAATGATCTCTATTTGTCATCAGCTATTTAATATTACAATTTACATAAACAATAAAACCATTTAATAGATTTAAAATGGATAGGTTAAGTCTGGTGGGAAAATAACATGGAGATAGTACATATAAACATTACTGCAAAGGCAAGGCAAAGACAATCCTACAGCAGTTGGCAAGAATTAAGAGAAGATGCAATGATTCAAAATTAACCTGAAATCTGTGGTGGTACTAAAACACCTTGGATTGGAACATTGTTCGCCTCATACAGCTGAAGCACCTGCAGGATTTCATTTACCAATTTACCCAAATTTTGTAAAATTTTATGTTAGCCTGCTGCTTGAGACAATCCATTTTCATGCCTTTAAACCTTACACACACTGTGTTTTCATCTAGTAGTTATCATAGCCACAAGTCTAACAGAAACTGACCAATTCCACTGTGTATAAGAGGAGTCATGTCAAGACATGCATGAACATGCACCAACCTATTACACACAACTCCACGGTAGTTTCTTTTCGTACAGAACTTATTAAAACAGCCACATAAGCTGTATACTAAATTTCACACAACTTACACTACTTTACATACTTTTACAGACATTACTTATATCTTAAAAATAGCCTAAAGAGAAAGAAATCAACTCTTTTCACCTAGTAAGGTGCAGGAGCATGTTAACCACAATACTATTCATATCTTGAAACGGTTTACACGCTGCAATGTACCCTGCTACTCCATGTTTATCTTTTGAAGACTTCAGGCGGCTGCATATGTCTGACAAGGCCTGTAAAGATATACATTCACATAACATATACTGAAGCTGATCACATTTAACTGTATTAGAAGACAAGAGTTAAGAACTTATGAAACTTAAACATTTCTCATTTAACTCTGTGGAATACTATTTTTAAGATATGTATAAATTAATTAGAGCATACAATAATTTTATTCACCGTCTTTACACAAGCTTATAGATTGTTAAAATCACATAAAATTATAACATTTCAACATTTGATATTGTTACATTTTAAAATGCTCAAAATTAAATGGAAGAAGCCTGGAGGTTAAACAAATAAAATCTAACGGGTAGAACAAAATCAGTATACGCAGAGCAGCAGATGCAACAGTTTTTAATTTTGATTGATAGACCTGACGATGATGGAATGAACATCGAAACATGTCGTCATTTTAAAATGTAACAATATCAAATGTTGAAATGTTATAATTTTATGTGATTTTAACAATCTATAAGCTTGTGTAAAGACGGTGAATAAAATTATTGTATTGAAGAACACAAGCATGACGCAATTAAGATATAAGTAATTAGAGCATATTAAATTTATTCAAAAACAAAGGTATTATTACATTAAAGTTATAATAAACTAAGTATTTCTTCTATTTCAATTTTACCTTGTTGTCAACAGGGAAAACACAACTGGCATGATGTGTGAGCTCTCTGGTAGCTAATGCCACATTGTATGGAGCTGTAACCACATCCTCATTCCCTGCTGGATAAACACAGGTCACAAACCTAGAAATAGTAGCTCATTAATACAAGATAACCTACTTCAAACCACTGATTTCTATCTCTATCTTCATAAAAGAAAGTGGAATAGAATCATTATTTATTTGTATGTTGCCACTTGGTTATCTTCCTATTTAATCTTTCAATAAATAAAAAAGAAAGAAGCTAACAGTTTGTTAAAATATTTTTCAGTCCAGTTAAGTTTTCATGTACATGTGTGTGTGTGTGTGTATATATATATATATATATATATGTTTCTAGTTCATACTTTGGTCTGAAATCACAGTGGTTAGGAAAAATGATAAAATTCATAAAAGAATTTCTAATAAAATTTGTAATACAAATACTGAAATGACAGTACAACCAAAAGATAAAAACTAATGATAAACCTTACATTTGTGTTTACTTAGCAATCAGAGTTATTCAGGGCATTTAAGAGCAATTAGAATGCCAAGTGCAAAGAATTCTTGAGGAAATTCCACATACTCCAACATGGATTGGTTTTTCAATCATGTTATCATTTACACACATTTCTTACATATAACATATTGCTTATTTCAGAGATACAAAATAGTAAATCTGTAATTACATATCTATAATTTTTAAATTACTGATTAGCACCATAACATTCCATGAACTTAACTAATCATTCTACTGGTATACAATACAAGTTACATCATCCATTCAAACCTCTCTATAAGTGGAAAATTATCTTCAAGAATTGTGAGAATAGAAGAACCAAGGCCTGAGCCTGTACCACCACCCAGTGAGAACAGACACAGGAATCCATGAAGTTGATCACTTTTTTCAGCACAACGCTGCAAAATGTTCAATATTTTCTCACTGTATTCACTTCCATGTGCATAAAAACCTTCTGCCCTATAAGAAAAATGTGGAATCTCAATAAAAAAATCAGGAAGGCTTAACAAGAAACATAATATTTAGATTCTTTATAAAAAGAAAGGTTCCATATTAAAATTTGAAACCTCATACTAGAACAAAGCTACTTCATAACAGTATACTCATGACAGACTAGAACAAAACTACTCCGCAACACCTTGGGTCATATCTACTAATGGCGGCACCTGAAATGGGTACCTTTCATACCATCTTGACACCTAATTAAAGCTCAACCCACTGAAAACCATTATAAAGACAAATTTCTCTTCACTGGTGTGTTGCATTGGGGTCTACGAGGCAGAACACATGGACATTATACACCAGTAAGGCTCCTTGCAATGAAACCTTAATATCGCACATGACTGCCCTCTCTGTCACATATTTTAGGGAATCACTGTGTGATTTCATTCTCTTTATCTTTTTAAGTTGAGAGTCCCTGAAAATGTAGGTTACAGAAACTGGGAACTGTAGCAGGTTGACAGACTAAACACAATGCCAGAGATAGAAGCCAAATCAGAATATGATAGATAGTCTAAAATGTGAAGTGTGAGCAAGAATGGATAAAATATGAGTGAATATATCCACTTAATACAGCATTCCTGGAATCATATAGCTACAAAATCTGTAAGTACATTTGTAATGCACTTTGACTTTCCATTACACGAAGCATATCCATCACAACTAAAAGAGTTCAAATGTCTACAAAATTCTGGAATAATTACAGTAATGAAGGACTATTGGTTGACTCTTGAAAATGAGATTCTTTTTATGTGACAACATTTACTGTTCTGCCATTATCATGCTGAGAAATGTTAATTTGACAAGTACTTCCATGTTTCCTTCAACTTACCAATTATTTCCTGATCCAGGGTAGTTTGTAAGGAGACATGTCTCATCAAACAAATGACGGAACTGACCAGTGCGAAAATGGGCCACTACACTATCTTCCATATCAATACACACTGCCTAAAATCAAGAAACATTACAATTTTATGTGCTATTATTTTCTGCATGATATGATTAAATATTTTAATATTAGCAGGAAGAATATCAAATAAATTGATCCCTGCACAGTAAGCTACCTTTTTGATAACTAGTGAGATCAATGTTCAAGATATGACAGTCATGTTTATGCCTTGATTTTATGTAGCACATTAGCTCCTCACTCAGTAATGAGAATTCTGAAGGACACTCTACAATATAAAACTCTCAAGTTTGTATGGCATCCAGAAGACATACTGAAGTTTTTTGGGAAAAACAGTCATCTTACGGTATGAAAATATATCAGTTAAAATTCATGAAGTTAGAATAAATGATCATGGATGAAGCACATATAATTGGTCTGAACTTGAGTTAAGAAGGTCTGATGGTAATCTTCAGGGCCTGATTATTACATATTAACTTATTAGGCCAGAACATTTGAACCACAGTAAATATCACACCATTAGCAAGTAATTTTTCAATATTTGTGACATCATTATTAAAAGTGAAACTTTTTGGACAAAAATTTTATAAGAGAGAACATAACACAGTATACAAATTGTTAAAATATTTTAACTTTAAATAATTTCAGACGGTAGTGGAATGAAACACCAAAACGGTGATGCTCATTTGAAGTCTTAATTGGCTGGCAATTCTTATTATATACTAGGATAACGCAGTATTATTAAAGGCATATCAGTTAAGAGCATGGAAATACTGTCTTCCCTTCAGTTTTATAATGTAATATGTTCCATATATTTTGTAAAGGCTATAAATGTTAACATGACAAATTTCGGTGAAAAATTTGTGATTGAACTTACATCTACATCATATCCCGTTTTGAATTTTACTGTGCAACTACATTCAATTGCTCATGCATTGCATCATCTAAATGCATTTGAAATAAAGTAAATTCATTCTCTATTTACTAATTAAGTTTGAGACATTCAACTTACCCTTGCTCTAACTTTTGCATTCTCCAAATCAGCAAGTGTCTTAAAATTCTGCCCAGAAATCCCATCTGAGCTCAAGAAGAAACTTTGGAATGCATCAAGAAGTCTTCCGTTGGGGTCAATGTGCTGAGATTGTGACATAGAAATGCATCCTGTTTGTGTTCCGATGCCATATTCTTGAAGTACAAGTGGCCAGAAAGCACCACCAATCTGGTTACCACACTGACCAACTGTATGAAATTAGAATTACTTAACAGGATCACAATACTGGACAATTGCTACAAGCATTAAAAAGTCACTGCTGACAATGTCATTTCATATGCTTGTCAGCTACTGTGGGGTGACAGACTGAAACATGACTTCATGCCTACTACCGAAAACATACAATGTTTATTACAATTTATATATTAACTACTGCACTATATATTCTAATCAACATTCTAACCAAAAATATGGTTTACATTACCTTGTACAGTCAGAAATTCACTCATTGATGTACGGAAGTTATTAGATTGTATTAATTATACAGCTATACACACAGTTGTCCAGTCAATTATAGGCAGACGCTACGCTCCAATGCATAAAGGAAGATTCTACTTTAACTCCTTAATAATTTGGATTGGAATGTGGATACATTATAATTGGCGCCGTGCACCGAGCCAGATGTTTTATCAGTATAGCCAACACCGCGAACACTGATCAAGTTAACCTGCAAAATAAAAGGGGCGAGAATATTGTTTCTGCCCTGATATTTATTTTATTTCATATGCTCTATAAATTAAATAATACTTAATTTTAAAACTGCTTCTATATGCGCATTTTTATATCGGAAAAGGGAAGTAATGTAAATAAGCGAAATGAAAGATTCAAAAAAAAAACGACTGTTGTCATTGCATATTCCGTTTGATGGTCCGCCAACCCGATCCCTCGCGATGAACACAACGGTAATCCCTGAATGTAAGCATGAGTCTACATCGGAATATGGCGGTTGCAATGAAAGTTTGTGAATTAGCATGTTTAATTTTGAGCATTTTAGTCCTCCAAGCCGTCAATACAAGTCAAAGTGGTAATCGTAACAATCCTCTAGATAATGGTAGAAAAGGTTTGTGTCATCTTGTAAAGTTCTGCTATATGCTATTTCTATGTTGTGAAGCATAGCATAATCTTCCCTAACCTCATCAAAGTAACGGACCGCTTCAAAACATGATTTGTACCTTTAAACATGCAAATAGAATAACAAATTAATTTTTAAACTTATATTTGTGCCTCAAATTATGTTCCTTGTATAACAATGAATATTGCTGTCATTCCAGTTCGGTTCCTGCAACCTGGATCACGAGTCCGCGTTCTTCCATGTGAGACTTCGGATCGTCAGTTACATATATATTGTTATCACGGTCGTCCGAAGCAGATAATAAACCTTTGGCAGACGGCTCTGGTATGATTAAGTGACCAAAAACAGCAGAAGTTTTAGTTTATGCTGCAAATAGGACATTTTTATGCCCATATTACTTAAACTTTAAATTTCAGTTGCAGTTGGATGTCAGCAGTGATAAGTATGATTTATATGATGGTGCAAGTCCAAATGAAGTGCTGGAAGAATATGAGCAGCATCGATCATCTTGGGCTATTAACCTTTTTTCATGGAAGCACAAAACAATAAAACTGAATCCTTTCAACCAAAGTTGTGTTGGTATATACAGTTCAGAAGGGCATGAAGTTCATCTGAATATTATAAGTAAGTTCCCACAATTTTTCAGATAATGATAAACTACCTTTTGATATTCTGTTGTATGATACTGGGTCCTTCATCTAAAACGTCAAGGTAGAGAGGTCAGCACTGTTTTGTATTCAGATGGCTCTGAATTAAAATCTTTGCCCACTGACCAGCTATTCTGACAGAATTTTTGTGGTTTTCCTCAGCCCATCAGAACACTGAACCAACTTTGAAGCGAAAAGCATGAGTTAATTCTACTAATTAGCAGTTTTTAAATGACAGTCTGCTTACAACCTGTATTGTATATCTGTGGCTTGTGTCCATATCTCACTGCCATCTTTACTGCTTCTTTAAAAATGTAGCATTTATTTCAGGAATTGATTACTGGAGGGTCCTGCTTCAGTGTGCAGGAGTCCTACTGTTTATCTCAGCTCACAAACTCAGTAAAAATTCCCTCTTCTATTACATCAGTGGAATCACAGTTGGAATATGTGCATCTTTTCTCATCTTGGTGTATGTGATAAGTAGATTACTTCCAAAGGTATGCATAATCTCTTTTCAGTTTGCTTTAGAAAATGTCACTGTGAAAGCTCATGAAAATCTGGATTGATTGGAACTGGAAGGAAAAAAAATCAGCTTTGTACATATCCTAATGCAATTAATTATAGGACAGCAAAAAATGTAACTGCTCTTAAAACAGTGAAGTCTTGGGCCTAGAAATGTGTGTTCAGCTCATAAGAACTGCAATCCAGGCCCCAATCCTAAAAATTTGTAATAAGTTTTTGAAAGTTTGGTAAAGTACAAGTTCTTGTGAATACCAATAGATGTGAATTTTATATTGACAAATATTAAATTTGTAAAATGAAGTTTTGGTTACTGATTAATTAATGTTCTGTATTTTCAGAGACCTGTTATGTATGGATTTGTGATTGGAGGTTGGACAGTAGGAATATATTTCCTTCATCTTATGTGGGAAAATTTACGTCTCATAATTATGCAATACCAGAATTATGCGCTCTTCTATATAGTTTTCACAGGACTTATAAGCTTTGTAGTTTGCTACCGATTTGGCCCTGTAACAGATCAGAGGAGTAAAAACTTGATTAAATGGACTCTGCAGGTATTACTAAATGTTTGCTAAGAATCTTAATGAAGTAAAATATAGTTATGCTAATTGCTGATGCTGTATCCTCTCATACAAATAATATATAAGACCAGGCTTAGGGAAACAGATAACAAATGCTTTTTAAATCTGTGAATGGAGTAAGGTTTATAATGTGTATTTGTATGTCTGTTTTCCAGAAAGCAGTTGACTTCGTTAAATATAAAGACAAAATTTATATCACTTTACCTACTGGTGTACTTCCAAGTATAACTGTAGTTAATTAAGAATACATCTCAGTCTATTATTTAAAGTTTTATACTATTCTTTAAAAGTGACTCATAACCATGTCAAGTAACTTTTTCACAGGGTGCTTCACTAGGAATGATTTTCTTCAGTAGCCACTTCCAAGAGGCAACTGCAGCCATCATTATTATAATTCTAGTAGTTTACAACTTTCCAGCAGCATGGACTTCAAAATTACTAGTTTATTGGTAAGCGAAGATCTCATTAACTAAATGTGCATGCTAACAAAAAATAGCACATAGCATGTTCAGATATATATGAATTTCACTGTGTATACACTTACAGATTATAATAATTAGGAGTTTTGCATGTTGTAAGGTGTGGCTTATGTTTATATTCACTTTGCACCACTACATGTACATTTATTGTTATTACATGCAAGGGAAACTGTGTTATGTTTTTCATGTTTTTTGGTACAAATAAACTTTTTATCAATTCAGCTGTGAAACAGTAATGATTTATCCTATTCCTGGAACAATTATGAAGTCCTTTTGTGAAGTTTTAAGTATTTGATAGGTTGACTGAATCTTGGTCTGTTTAATGACAATTGTTCAACAACATTGGTTATACAGCATCAAAAGAAAAGGTACTATCCCGGGATTTGTCTGCAGGAAAACCATAATAAAACCTCAGTGAGGAAAACTGGTTGGTCTGAGATTTGAACACGGGACCTTCCACATACAAAGTATGATTCCAAACTATTATGCCACATTAGGTGACAGATGTTGAAAAGATCTGATGTGTTGTTTGTGGTTGCATGCAAGCATGTAAATAATTGCTTTCTGCTTAATGGAACAATGATTTCTTGTAAGGTTTGAATATAACCCCATTTATTCTAAGGGTTTATCTCCAGTGAGTTAAAATTTTGTTTTGCGTAGGCCATGAGTCAAATTGTTTATGATTTACAAATTGAGCTACAGATAAAGGCAAAATAGCTTATGCTTACCATGTACAATGCGCATAACATAAATTTCTTGGCAGGCATCATTTTGAAGCTGAGCAGTTTACACAAAAGTCCTTTCATGTTGATTTTAACTCGATTGTGCTGGTTTCTTGATGCTGTCAGTTAATGTGTTCAACTAATTACAAGAAGCAGAGTCCTTCATGACAAGATGATAGTTACTCAGTTAGTCAAGCAAATCCCTGTATTTTGTGGAATCTGAAGGAGCACTGCTGTTGTCCCACATGAATATTGGAATAACATAATGGGCATTATTTTCCTTTCTAGTTGCTGGCAATTTATTCATAAACTTACACTAATATTTGTATGAAGGAAAATCTGTTTCATCTAAAATTACATTTTATAAGCCATTCTTTCTTTTTAAAAAACTACTGGTACAGACCCAAGTAAGTGAAGATCTCTGTTAATTTCAAGCAGGCCTGTGGGTTTGTTTCCTAAAAGTGAGGTCAGTAACTAATTTTCAGCTAAAATGAGGGATTTTTGCTGATTGCAGGAAACGACGGTTTCCACCAAAGATGAAACTGATGACTGAAGATGAATACTATGATCAAGGGGTAAGGGAAACTGCAAAGGCTTTGGATGAGCTTCGAGGATACTGCTCTAGTCCTGACTGCAATGCTTGGAAGACAATGCTTAAACTCAAAGAACCTGTTAGGTGATGTAACTTCCTTGCTAAGAATACTTTTAGAGAATTTGAAAATATAGTAATATCCAGGTCAGATGTAGTCAAAGTTCCTGTTTCTGAAAATTATTTTTCTTTTCATTCTTGTTCCAGCTGCATATAGTAAAATGCATGTAATCAACAGTCATATTTAGAGCAAATAAATCAATTAATAACATGACATCAGCTTTTCCCATCAGGTTTTAATTTTGATAAGAATACGTTACGTTTCTAAAATCAGTCATTTAATTGTGTAAGGATAGAAAACTGTGATTTTTAATGGAGTATTTATTTTATTGTCGTGACGCTATTGTTAATACTTAGTCTTTATAGTTACTTAAACTTTTCACATTTTTATGATATTAAGAATGTATATTTATATATGTATATTTATTTTATAGGTTTGCCAAGTTTATGGATGGAATCTCGCATCTAAGTGATGATGAAATATTGGCTTATGAGTCAGAAGGAAGACAAACTTTAACTGAATACTATACAGATGATGACTCAGAGTCAGGTTCTGAGTACTAAGGAGGCAAAGCTTCCATAAAATGCAAACTGTATCCAGTGAATCAAGTGATATTTGTTATTAATGAGATTAGGATATTAATTATAAGCAACTTATTATTTTTATACAAACAAGTCTTTCATGTTTATGGAGAGATATTTCATTTGCTATCATACAGCTGTCGTTCAGGTTGTAATTCTTTTATAAGTAGTTAGGTTTTTGAATAACATAAGTTTTTATTCTATTAAAGTGAATCAGGTGCTGTGTGTGTGTTTGTGTGCATGTGTATGTATTGGTATAATAAGGCTGTATAAATGATCTAGTTTTTATGGATGTTCCCAATGTTTATTACAACTACCTGACCATAAACTTTATACCACTGTATCCATGTACAGTTTCTTAACACTGTGATCCCAGATAGTATTTAAATGTCCTGCCACTATGTGTAGAATTAAAGGGCAGCTGGCATATTTGAATGAAAGAATCAAAATGTTACAGGTTTTATTAGTATTTTATATATGAATATGGAGTTTTTATACTTGCAGAATATGTCCAGAAATCAAAATAATGTACTCACTTTTACTTTACATGGCATTCAGTACTATAAATCTTCATTGTCAATCGCAGTTCTCACAGGCTTTTATAGGTTACAATTTTACAGTGCAGTTTGTCTCAAAATATTATTGCCAAGAGTTTACCCTTGTTTGAATCTCAAAACAGTCTTCGGAACACAATTTATTTTGACACTGTAAAGTATGTTTCTTGACTGCTTGCACAAACTATCAGTTCTGAGGTTCTCACATTATACAGGTAGTTACTGACAGACAATTTTAGAACTCTTAAGAATCAAAATACAGAATGGTAGTGCATCATGGTTGATCCTTAGGTTAGTTACTGATGCTGGGATAACACCTTAAAATAGCCCATGGTGCCTCCTTCCATATCATTATTTACAATGTGTAACCTCTGTAAATTGTCATTAAATAACTTAAAAATATAAATTATTAATGGCCATATTCTTATTGCAGAGGTTATACAGTATTAACTGAACCACTAATTATACAAGACTGCCAACAACACTGAACAATCCAAGCAAAACTTGAAAAGCAATTTTAATTGACATAACCTAATTCCTCTTTCACAAAAGGTATAACAGTTATGCTGCCTTGACTTGGTAGGTAGCATCTTGAAACAGGACACACATGAATGTGAGATTACAGGTCCTTACATCCACAATGAGAAGGAAATGAGATCACGAGTGTTGGATAGGTAAGGATTTGGAAGGGGACAGATATTTAAATGTACTACCTGGCATTTATGTGGATATACTGAGGAAAACCATGAGAAACCTCAGTCAGGATAGCTGATAATATAGTCAAAATTTGAAACAGGTACCTGTTTAATATAAGTCTACAACACTGCAGCTACAATAACCTTTTTAGTGACACAGTATTTTAAACAACTTCCATTAAATCAGTATATTTACTGTGAAGACCATATAACAAATTCCAGGAATTGTATCTTGTAAATATACAGGAGTTCTGACATCTCTTTTTTTATGTAATCCACCCTCCAAATGATTTTTCTCCTCTGCTGTAGCAACTTTATAAATCAAAATTTGGTGAAGCCTTGACAAGAAATAACAAATTTGTAGCTTATGTTCAAACTATTAGCTGCAGATTTAACGCATGTCAAAGGACCTTGTCATAATATATAATGGATTCCTATACATCATGTTGAAACAAATCTCCAGTGTTTTTACAATGAAATATGCTTTATAAAACAACAGTACTTTATTTATATGAATACAGCATTTGAAATCATGACATAATCATCGCCTTCCTTTACCCTTTTTTTTTGAAGCTCCAGAGCCTGACTGAGATTGACCTTGGTCTGAACTTCCTTGTTTTCCTGCACGGGATTTCAGCTTAGGAATTGTTTGCCCAAGATACAGCATCACAGAATCACCTACATACAAATTCATTAAATGTACAATTATATTCCTCATATAATAAATAATTTAAGCTGCACATAACAAAGAGTATAATTTACTATTCTGGAACCCCTGTTTCTAGCATCTTTAATACAAAAGTTTGCTAATGCAATCCTAGTTCTGAAGAACAAACATTCTCTGTCCAGCCTCCTATTATTTAAGTTCCAAAGGAAATGTATAAATATGTGCTACTCTACTGGTTCCTGTTAGATAAACAAGAACTGAACTAGGTTTGTTGCAATTACAATCATATTTATCTTAAAAGAATGCCCTTCCTATGGACTTTTCTAACATTATTCCTTTTTCCTTTGACACGACACCATTTCGGCTAACCTTACATGGTTTTAGTGGTTTTTCTCATTCCCCCCAGGCAACTGCCTTAAATTAGGCCATGACCACTTCCTTCCATGTCCTTTCTGATTCATATATTATCATCCAATCATCAGACAACTTATTAAATAAACCACAAATACAGAAAAAATAAAAACAACTTACGTGAAGGAAAGTCAGGGTTAAGCAGTGTGCCATCATCAGATTTCAACTGGACCCTGATCCGACCACGGTACAGGAGCTCTTTGCTCTTCTCTCTACTATACAACTTGTTTTC